TATTAAATTTCTGAACAAATTACTATTTTTTAGTCATAATAATATAATGATAAAGGAATAGACTAAGCCTCTTAAATAGAAACTGCAATTTAGTATATACCGAAAATAATTCGGTCCTAACAAGTAATTCTGCTTTAGGTAATAAATAATTATACTCTAAGGTTTTATCATCTACAGCACATGTTTCACACTCCAACTTTTTCTACCCGACTTCCTTAACTCTTAGAAATGAAACTTAGTGAGTAACTTGCCTCCACACAAACGTGGTTGCAGGGATTAGAGGTAATCAGAATTTTCAAGAAATCGATATATCTTTCCTAAGAGTTAACCTTAGAAAATTATAAAGTAAATTTTTTTTTTTCATTTCCTTAAAATCTATAAGTATAAGTTAAAATGTCAAATGCGTTTCTTTCATAAGGTTGTTTTTTAAACTGGTGATCTCTGTTATCGAAAGCATTATTTAGATTATTTTATAAACAATTAACAGCTGTTTTTCCGAAAATGGATTAGTATTGATTAGTGAGCCTGCTGGAACTGAAAACAATTTTATTTCATAAGGTATTATTATTATTATTTTTTTTTTTTGCAAATTTTTATCAAGTCAAGACGAAACCTTTTTTAATGATGCTACATTTTTACTTTTATAAAATAATTTACTAGCAAAAAAAAAAAAATGATTTAGAATTGTAATTTTTTTTTGTAATTGTTGTTAGTGAAGTTGGTAACCAAAGGTGTATCTAGACCACTCTAACTGATTTTAGGTATTTGCTCTCTAGAACCAAGTGCTCAGAGTTAAAATTTGTTTCCCTTTCTTATCGAGTTTTCAACTTCAGAAACTATTATTATAATATACTCATAACTAGAACTACGCTTAAATACAGATTTGTGTGCAGAGATCTATTCTACACTTCATTTTATTTCGAACTTACTTTACTTTCATAAATGGCATCTTCTACAGTCCTTTCTGAGCGAAACTTCGCATTATAAGAACTTTTCCACAACTTCTCTATGCATATTTGTGGCATACACTCTAATATCATCTGAGGAGAGAACAGTCGGAATTACGAATAAACTCCAGTGACATTTGTTAGGAGACAAACTTGTTCTGACGAATCCATTTTTAACACTTTGGTCTTAATAAAAACATTTCTTTTCTTTATACTTTCAAACAAAAATATTTTAAAATGTTCAAGATGTCAACGGATAGAGATGTCTTCACCTCTGCATTTAGTGAATAYACAACTAAAAATAAACCAAATAATAATCACGCTAAAATGCAATAAAATTATGTGTGTCTTTCTTGCGTGCACTTTAAAAATAAATATTGCTCACATTAAGAAAATAATTGTTTTCTTCAACCGCTTGTGTAATGATGGATAAATGCTCATCTGTCTTCGACATGGCACCGAAAGAACAAACGGCGACAACGCAACAACAGCAACTACTGATTAGCAACAACAGGCTTGACAAGAAATACAAGAGCTTAACAACTTATGAACAATTTGCTGCATTACAACAACAAATGTGTGCATTAGTGTAGCGAAAGAATGTATGTAGTCATGTACACACTTATTGTTGTTTGTATGTACATATGCCTGTGGACCTGCAAGAGCCTGAAACACAGGTGCCAAATGTTGTAGACTTTCTTCGACGACAGCAAGCTGCTGTCTTTCGCCTCGTACCAATGGGATTCACATCGGGATGGTGCGTGTGGTTAAGCGATTTATAATTCTATGTTTGTTGCTTAAAAATAAATAGGCAAATGTAAGCTAAAAGCAGGAGGCACAGGCACACACATGAGCAAAAACCATTTCAAAGTCGAAATTGCATTCTTATTTCACTAATTTCGTATTTTTCGAAACATAAATGCAGAGAACATTAAAACTTACGCACACATACATACATACATTTGTATTCACTTTTGTAGAAGTATATGTACATATTCTGCTCTGGCCGCATAAGGCACCGCGACAGCCTGCAGAGTGGAACGAATGTACGCTCAGTCGCCAGCAATGAATGAAAAGTTGCTTGGGCGGACAGATGGGTATTCAGTTTGGTTAGGCTTTGCCTTGTAAACAAACAAACAATGGCGATGACGCAGACAACAATAAACATGATCATGACATAATGAGCATTGGCAGCAGAGGTGCCAAGAGGCGTCGTCTGGTGAGCAAAGCAAACGAATGCAAAATCTAAGAACATCGAGAAAAAAATTTGCATTCCATGGACTAAGTGACGGCTGCCGTATGCTTTATGCGCCCACTTAAGTTGCAACATATCAAAAGGCGATGCACGAATTTTGCGAGTGGCATAAAAATAAGAATTCATTTCTTTGAGTGTAATTTCCTCTAGTCTTTAATGTGCTCAACGCGAGTCATAAATGATTGATTGATCTTATTTCTTTGGTCGCAAATACAAATTTAAGAATTGATCTTGAAAATTTTTGAATCARTTTTGGGTTTTAGATGAAATAAATGAAATATAGTATATAACTAGTAAATAATTAGCTATCAAACAATTTTCATATACAAGTAGTGTCAGTTGGTTGTATCTACTTTTTAGTTGGAAGTAGTTTTGAGGTGCCGTAGCTGTTGATTTTATCACTCATGYGACTACGCAGACATAAATGTGGCTTGTAATAATAAAACGAAATCAAAAAGATTATATAGCTTATAATCGAATAATGATGATACTGATAATTTCCACTAAATTACGAATGCGTTCCCGGACTACCGAATCAATCAAAAAAAGTTGTCAAAAGCTCATTGATTCTCAAAAACTTTGATGAATCTATCCAACAATGTCAGTTTTCAGATTTGAAATGTTGGTATGTTAGTAAGAACTGGTAATATTTTGTTTAGGTTAGTTCAGTTATTCTCAAGGACGTTATGATCAAATATTTCGTTGCGAGTGCAGTTCATTTGGGCAAAAAATTAGACTAAATTTTTATACGGCAAAAGTCTGTCAGACAAATAAATTTACGAAAACTATTAATTTCTAATTTAATTTTCTCTTTTACAACAAACATAAACCAAAAAGTTGCAAACAAAATTTATTTATTTTTGCAACTTTTAATTTGCCTTGATCCAGATTTAAGCCAAAAATGTGCGAAATCCAAAATATGTTCTCACGTTCTCTCATTCTTACGGTATATAGAGGAAATTTTTATATAGAGACATTTTTTCCTGACGTTAGAAAAATAATTACTTAGTAAAATGGACCATRCAATATTAAGCGTGAACATTGAGGATATCTTCCACAAATAGMAAAGTTATAACGTAAAAGATATAAGACAGATTGGATTGAAAAAATCAGAACTCAGTTGTTGAATAGAATTTGATTGGTTACGTCGTGCGTTTCAGACTRCGTCCAGACGAGGACTCTTTTGTCGTTTATTATCGCCAAATGTTCTTTGGTTCGAGTCCAAAAACTTAATCGGACAGTTTTCTACATTTTCCTGCAATAAGAATTTTAAATGAAAATAATTGCCAAATATCTTAGCAGTGAGCTGTGACACCCGAGTACGAGCGGCACTTCATTTTTCCAAGTCATTCTCGTCGCGGAGTGTCGCCTACAAAAACCATTTTAAGCGGCAAAAGTSTTCGTGTGCACGTAGGTTAAGTGTGTCGCTCCAAGGTTTCTCTTTGCAAGCAACCAACCAACATAGAAATGAGAATGTCTGGGAGACTAAACTTCTTTTATGAGATAATTATTATTATATTTATATCCTCCGCCTTAAAGTCAGAATTTATAAATGGAGTAAGAAATTACCAAAAATTTAAGCTCCTTTTTCACATAAAACTTGTTTTCGAAATTCTTACTTAAATCACTACTTCAGGAGCTTTCTGGAAGTATTTCTTATGTTACTCACTTTTTGAGTATAAAATTGGATTTATCAAACCATCAGTTTAGTAAAAAGTAGTATTGGTTCTAACATTAATTTATGTCTTGATAAGAAAATTTTGCGGTAGACAAGTCGGAAAACTGGATTATACAGGTAAAGTCTGGAAAGATTAGTCGTTTCGTCAGAGAAAAGCAATTTCAAGCTTGAATCTGACAGAAGGGTAAAGAAAAATTAAAGCGTAGTTGGTTTCAGGCGAATCTAAATTAAATAATGGGWGATAATGATGGGGATGGTTGAGGTAAAATCTTAGACAGTAAGTAACCAACTAAAATGAAAAAGTGATTTAGGGACTGGGCTTGCTTTTGTGGATATTTTATACTCTCTTTGTGTACATATGATGGCACAAATCGAGAAAACAACGTGAACGTTTTATTCTTGAAAAGCTCACAGTAGAAATTTTGCAATAGAATTTGTCAGACTATGAAAATAATCATAGCACATAAGTTGCGGACGGTTGATATTGTCTTCAATCACATTTATTTCATGATTATTATCTTTTGGGGAATGAATTAGCCTTAAGCCCCTACATAGAACTGATAATGTGTCAGGGGATGAGTTCTCAAATGAGGGTTTTTTAGTCGAAAAAAAAGCAAAAATATTTTAATGCTTACTCGAAGGCAGCAATTCAACAAAGAAACCGCCTACTCTTCTATGAAAACGGTCGACGAAAAATTAAGATATTTTCCAAATATATTAACAAAAACATTATTTGAGCTAAATAAAAACTGTCATGCGAAAAAAAAATATTTTATAAAATTTTATAAAAAAATAATATTTTTTTCCATTTTAATGAATTTTTGGAGTCCATATCATCACCTAAAATGTAAAATAACGTAACGCCACTTTGCATAAGTTTACTGGCGAAGGAAAAACGATATAATAGAAACCCCTAATATTGAAATAAAATTTGAGTTTTGGTTATAAAATGGTTACATATTGGTTAATATRTTGGTTATTATATCTGATTTTCATATTTTTAATGATAAGTTGTTTTGCATTTTAGYTGACGATATGTAATAAMTAATACCGTTAAAATTTGCATATATTGATATATATTGATTGGAGTATAAGTGTAGGTATTGGCTTTAGCACTCACCTTCATTCACGTAGCCGCCCTCCATCGTGCCAAACGTGTACAAATTGTTGCCACGAATTTTGTTGTTGTTATTATTGTCTCGCCGTTAGCTGCTGATACTTCGTTCAATTTTTTTATATTTGCTTTATTTTTTATGTTTGATAATTTTTTTTTTTATTATTGCTTGAAGATTTTTCTCAAAAACCACTCTTGACTGTTTTCACGATTCCCGTTAAGTAACAACASCACACAACTCAAGTATGTTTTTTCCGGCTGCCGCTGTTTGCTAGCTTTTCTGCACTTACAACACACTCAGCAACACTTAAGCATGTGGTTGCCACTTAGATTTTGGGAAATTCTTGAAATTCTCTCAAYGACTTCCACAAATGTGGCGGTTTTCTTGCCGAACACGAAACTTGGAAGAAGTAGAATTAAGTGTAGAAAAATCAACGACAATTTGAATCGTCGCTTAATACAAGTTGCAATGATGCCGATGACGAGTTGACCGGTGCACGCCTCCCGCTTGCCACTCACGCGCCAGCACTGGCAGCACTAAAATAGGCACAAAGTGGCACACTTAAGACCCAATTCGATCGACAATGGCGACAAAGAGKAAAAGCTCATTTCATTTGCATTTCACAATTATTATTATTATTATTTTTTTTTTCACTTTACTCTGCGACGCTCACACTCGAGAAAGCACTAAAAATAGGAACAAGAGGCAAATGAGACACATAAAAAAAAAAAAAAATGTTGTAGAAAATGTGTAAAAAATACAAAAACAAAAAATGTCAAAAGTTCGGGAGTAGCGAGGCAAATAATTGGGTTGTGGGYAGCGGATGCGCCGCTGCAGCTGCAATAACGGCAGCAATCACAGCGATAAAGAGGCGCGTTGTCTTGACGCTTTCGATTGACTTTTCTATTGTTATGTGCGTACATATGTATGTACAATTATGCATATACCTATATACATATGTATATGTGTGTATGATGACAATCAGCTGCTTTTATTGCCTGCGCGTTGACGCTGCAACAAATGATGGCGGGCACTTGCAWCCGCGCCGATTTGCATAATCGCTGAGAAAGTGTGCCTCAAGCAATGATCTTTCGATTGAGATGCACACATATACATATACAAACACATGTACATACATACATACATGCATACATACATTAGCACATGTACTCATATGCATTTAACATATTTTTTGTTGTATGTTGTTGCAATTGTTGGTATGTTGTTGTAGCTCGCAGCTTATTTTCCCATTTTCTCGCGCCTGATTTGTGCTTTACTCTACATATTTCGCTATTTCTATTTTGTATCGACATAACAAGACAGCGCGCCACAAAAAATTTAAAAAAAAACTTTAGAAAAAAGTTTGACTGCCTGCAAGTTGCTCGCTGCATCCCACCGACATGTGCWGCTTATCTGTAACAACTTTCGATTATGTTCACTTTTATTGTTATTATTATTATATAATTTCAGTTTGTTGCAGTCGGTATTGTATGCGATATTTTTTATATTTCACGATATTTTTTATATCGCATGACATTTTTTATTTTAAACTTTATTACAACAATTTTCGATAATGTTCATGCTCAATGTTATATTTTGAAGAAATTTAGTCGGAGTTACATTTTTATTGCATGCAATATTTTTTATATTTCATAACAATTTTATTTTTTTTCTTTTGAAACTTAAAATAATTTAATCACAAGTATTATTTCTTTCGTAAAATGATTGGCGAATTTACAGCAAAACCTGAAATGAAACAAAATAATTATTTTCATTAGTATTATAACTTTAAAATGTCATGATGTCAGGTTGGTCACATCCCTCAATTGTGGCAAATGTATACTTTGAATAAGCAAACATAAAAAACACATACGCATATACAACAAAACGCAAAGCAAAAATTATACATCTTATATACAAAAATGAATCGCAAAATGTGTTGCTAAGCGCATAACTCAACAACGCCTGAACCAATTTGGCCAATTATTTTTTCTAAATGTTCGTTGAGGTTCAAGGATAGTTTTTATTCGAATAATTGCCGGAAAACCCCTAAAAACAGCTCTTTTCTTTTTCCCATACAAACGAATGAATGTTTCTTTGTTAGTAGCGCTAAAARAACGGCTGCAACAATCCTGATGAAATTTGCAGAGGTTGTTCGTTGTGGATCGGGGAAGGTTTGGAAATAAAAAATCCTTAAAATTTTCATTTAGAAAAGTGGGAAATTTCGAAAATTCCAAAAAGTAACTTTTTCTTCCATAAACATTTTCAATTATTGTTTGTTTTGGTTTTCAATATTTTGATTTGTAAATTTTTGAATCGTTCATTTTCGGTCGTTTACTTTTTTTGTCCGGCTATTCAAAAGAAAAAATGTTGAAAATTATTCAGTGAAAACTGTATGTGTGTTTCACACAAAGTGATCAATTGCTCAGTGAAATTTGTTACGAAGCCACGAAGAGGTCGCCCAATATCGGTCGGCGATCTTTTTGCCATCAACGTATGGCAGCCCAGGCTAGGCAAGGCATGAAATACTCCCAAGATACGATGACATACGTGCGGAATTATGCATCGCGGTCAATCAGCAAGCGATCGTCACGATGTCACAGCACGACTTTTCAAAYAACAGTTACGATGTTYGATGGACTTTATYTTGAAGCAACGTTAGATGCTAGATGTACTCTGYAGAGRGGCAAAAGAGARGTTTTCYGCACGTACACATTCTTSTTTGGATGGTGGATGGTGGTTACACCAGATYAAATTGATGAACTCATTTCAGCGGGAATTCATGATGCAGARAAMGATCCAGTATTATACGAAGTGGTGAAAACMAATATGGTTAACRGACCTTGTCAGCAACAAAATTAACATTTACGAGTTTTTTCTTAACTTTCATCAGTAAACCGTTTGCGAGAACTTGCTCTATTCGGCAATGCCTTKATATTATACATAGAATGCATCGCCGAAGAAATAGTTACGCAGAAAGCAAGGRCAACCAGTAGRTGWACATCCAGGTGTGTTATCAACTAATTCATTAGGACGAATTTASAAAATCCACCCGRAAAACGACGATTGTTTATACTTTCGGTTSCTATTGATTAAWGTACGCGGTTCAACTTCATTTGAGTCRTTGCGTACTGTGAATGGTACGGTGTGTGGAAGTTTTGAAGAAGTAAGCCAGCAATTACAATTGCTGGAACATGTTAATGACTGCAATGCAATGCAGATGAAGTTTGTACACTTTTTGCGATAATCATTTCGACATATCAGCCTTCAAATCAATCAAAAAATTGACATTGCCGAAGAMATTTTACATCGTYTTYGCTAAAAATTGGAAATGGGTCAATTGCGGTTGATACTTCCGGTGATTTGATATCAATTCCATCCCCMATTTATCAATTCACGAAAGATGAACTAATCRCGAATGWTCGGACATTGGCCAAATTATCGTAACTACGATTCCTTAAGTGCAYGCGCAATGTKAGCTGCCAAAAATACCGTTGTTGTTGACTTAAACTGGAAGATTCAAAGTCAAATTCCGGGAGACTTGCGCTCATACAAATCGATCGATCGTCTTGACAATGAAGACGACGTCGTAAATTATCCGGTGGAATTTCTAAATTCTTTGAAGAGGCTTGGTATGCCACCGCATTATTTGCGTCTCAAAGTTGGATCTGTCGTATAATGGACTGTGTAATGGAACCCGGCTGATTGCGACGCACCTTTCGAATACAAGGGGCAGAATGCGTGATTCTATGAATTCTTTTGAGTTCTAACGATTTGTCATTTCAGTTCAAACGTATTCCGATTCCAGTGAACATTGCATTTGAGATAATAATGAACAGAATAATCAGTATAATGAATTCAAATTCTAATTAATTTGATGGTAATGATTTGTAGTGGTAAAAATGCTCTCTCGGGACTGACAATACCTTCCGAATTTTTGAAAACGATATCGAATTACGTTTATTTCAAATAGAACTTTAAAATTCACTTTGCCAGTGATCGCAGATTGATTTGTAGCTTTTTTCAAAGGACTCCTATACATTCCATATTTTAAACCCTGAGTTTTTTTTTTAGCAAATACTTATCTTTAATAACAGTTAATTTCCGCGATAATCGCACCACATCTTTATTAAGAGAAGTAATGTTCTGTAAAGAATGTGTTTCGCGCGCATCGCTCAATTTATGGTCAACATTATAGGATTACTGAGCCATCAACCATCTTGCGGCCCAGCATTCATTATTGGATAATATTCGAAGGAATAGACCAGCATCCAGCACGCAACGAAGAAAATATACAAGTAGCAGCCGTAGCCGAGAGTGTACACGAAGACTGTGGAGAATCGATTCAGCGCCACTTGCAGCAACTCTGGCTGACGTATAGACCGACTTGGCGCATTTTGTGTCGTGATCATGAATTGAAGCATACAAAGGACAGCTTGTGTATGAACTGTAGCCGCTCGACCTTCCTAAGTGACTAGCACTATGGGTTCATGAAAAGTTGCAAGAAGATCCGACGTTTTCGAGCCAAATCGTGTTCAGCAAGGAGGTCCATTTCTGGCTCACTGGGTATTTAAACAATCGAAATTGTCACATTTGTGAGGAGGAGAAACCTGAAGAGRTTGAAGAGGTTTGATGTGGTGTATTGACCGGTGGAATCATCGGTGCATATTCCTTCAAAAATGAAGGCCGGTGATAACGTAATCGTCAATGGCGACCGGTAACGCGCCATAATAATCGACTATTTGATGCCTAAAGTTGAAGCTCGTGATCTCGGCAATATTTGATTTCAACAAGACGASGTCACTTCCCACACATCGCAGCAATCAATAGACTTATTGGAGAGCAYTTTGGTGAGCAGATAATTTCTCGCTGGTCGATTGACCATCAAAGTCATGTGATATATCATACCGTTCCTAAAGATTTTACTGTGATTTCATGTTCTGGTTAGAAACTAATCAAGACTCCTTCTTTCAGTAAGAAACTTTACTGACAGATGGTTGCTAACAATATGTTGAGACAATGTTTTGCTAGTGAACAATGTAAAGGTGAATAATATTATTTTGTAAGAACACCAATTCCATTCCAACTGTTTCACCTTAAATATACAGTCTTGATTATGTTAAGAAGTTCGTGCAGAATGCACGAATTCATTGAAAACTCGATTGGAATTTACGCTTGAACAAAAACTTCCTCCACAGCCGCATTCCACAATAGTCTGTGGAATAAATTTATGCTGCTAATACAACTATAGAMATTTATTATAGAAATAGTCTAAAGAAAGTAAAATCCGGCCAGAATATTTAAATGCATTCTCAAAAAAATAAATAAATAAATAAATAAAGATTGATGTATAGTTTTTAAAATAAATGCACTTTTAAACTCTGCACATTCCCAGAAAGTTCGAACGTTTCCTTAGATATTTAGACATATTCTATACTTATGCATTTGTATTTGTGTATTTATTTATTTCATTCGAACATGTTTTTGTTCCTCACCATTTCTCATCGACACCATGCAYCATTAAGCAGAAAAATTTTTTCGCACGTCACATACATATGTATGTATAGTAGAGCGCGTCCATCACTACAAGCGAGTAAAGGCCTTGCCACATTTCTTGCGTTTCTAGACAAACAAATTTGTTGCAATAATACACACAATAAGCGTTAAACAAGCAAACAAGAAGTTTATACTCATAATTGTAAAAGCCACCATCAACACAATGCATTTAAGTTGAAATGCGTTGTGTATATGTATTTGTGTATGTGCATGTGTGTGTGAGTTCATCTATTTAATGCACAATCATTCCAAGATGCACCGAGATCTTGTGTATAGGGCGTGTGTCCACTTGTACTTAAGTGCACAGGATGGTTCATAAAATGCTTCCTAACCATATTATATTCTGTACTATGTTCCGTCAGAAAGTAAATATTATATTTTCCGGCAGCGAAATGAAAAAGTTTTGATCGAAATTTACATTTTTTTTTCAGGAAACCTATTTTTTTATAAATTTTCATTTCACCGACTACTTAAGCGCCTAATCTGAYAACACTACTCAGCAAATCTGAAGGAAAAACTTCCGACTGATGTGTTAAGTGGTCTGTGGGATATTTGAGGCATCCTAATTATGGATATAAGTTCAAAAATGTTTGGCTTTAGCAACCAAAAGTTTTCCAGAAGCAGCCTCTTCGCAAAATGACTGTARACTTCTTCTTCSGGTTTTAGACCAAGTATCCTCTGGGTAGCCAAAGAAAATCCGTTTGCAGGCGATCCGAAGTGAGAAGGCGTGTCTTCAGAGTTGTATGGTAGGTTTGAGAGCCGCCACTTTCAAAACGCTCCCAATGAAAAGCAATGACTGTAAACTAGTGTAATCAAAAACGGTCAGGAAACATATAATTTTTGATAAAGTGGTGACATAGTACCTGTTTTATGGCGAGGGCATGACTTCGAGGTCACTTTAGAATTATTGGGTTTTGAAGTTTCAAATTTCAAGCTCGGTTTTTGAGATATCGTYCTGATATTGTGCATACGCCTTTTTYTCCCTAAGAAGCTGCTCAGAAGTATGTTGGAACAGCCGATATTGGACGATTATAGCATATAGCTGTCGTATAAACTGACCRATCCAATCCGAGTTTTTGTATGGAAAACTTTTTTTTTTTGACAAGATATTTTAACGAAAGCTGGCATAGGTTATTATCTAAGGCAGTGGTGCACCCTCCGAAGAAGTTGTTCAGATTTGATTAMTGTGG